TATTTCTTTAAACCGATTAATTATTGAAAAATTCATATTGTAATAAATTTGTTATGTTTCAACAACATACATCTATTAATATTTTTACAATATAATTTTATTTTTGTGTAAAGCATAGACATACCCCTAGTTGTCTATAAAGAGAGGAAGGGGAGGATGTGTTCCCAAAATCATACAAACCTGTAATTAAATTAAGTTTCCGGATACTATCAGGCTTTCATTAACATAAAAAATGTAATTTAAATTACTAATAAAATTCTACAATTGGTGATTAACTTGATAATACACTGGAAATAAATTTGCTAATGAAAAACTGAATCCTGATGGATAAATTCCAATTTTTTAATTAATGAATGTATATTGGTGTTTTGAAAACTTAACTAACAATTCGCTTTTAGAAAGTTGACTGTTTACATTAAACATTGAACTGATTATTTAACTGAACTAGTTTAACTTTGAAGTAGGAATATAAACTCATCTCGTAGGCCCATACTTGAGCCTTTATGGGCCGAATCTTATCCACTACGCATTACCCAAACGATATTCTCGTATCTGGACGAAGATGCTATATTTATCAGGCCTAAAGGACTAAAACATGTAATTTACTCTAAATATAATGGTATACGAGAATAACAAATATTGTGAAAAGTACAATTAAATAAGTGTAGTTAGAGACATACCAAACATACATAGAGCAACCAAATACTACGTAATGAACTGCTCTTTACCTCTATTTATTTTTATACGTAACATATAATAGATAAAAAAAAATAATAATAACAGATATATTGCTATAGCAAGTAAAAATGAAAGTATATTCACTAATATTGGCCATTACACTACTATTAGTACTATAGTACTATCCCCTCGCACGAAACAACCAATTTAATAAATAAAACACTACAAAATAATAATAATAATAATAATTAAAACCAGGCTTTACAAGGAAAAAGGAAAAACTTGAAACTTCAAATGCTCCAAGCAGATTTTAATCTACTTTTAGAAACAAATTTGGATGCAACATTTGGGAGTTCATGTACATTTCAAAAAAAAAAAAAAAATTGAAATTTTGTTGCGTAGTTTAAATCCAAGACGACCGGTTGTTGGTACTTGTATCGGAATCTTCTCCCTTGCACATTCCCATCATCCGGAAGCATCTAAACCGTTGGACCTGCAGAAAGAACGACTTAATACAGCTATTTATAATTACCAGTGTTTCTTTTTTACTTAATACAGAAAAAACGACTTAATACAGAAAGAAAGTCGGTGGGACCTTCCAATGCTTTTTTGGGTCAATGGAATTGTAAATTGATTCCAAGCGAATGATGATTTGTCTGAATGGCGGTCTCCTCTCCGGATTCTCATGCCAACACTCCTCGATTAACCTATATAAATATAAATATTATAAATTAAATAATCCGTTACATTTTTAGTCCCTAAAGGGTATTTTCGTAATTTGCAATGGGAAAATAAAGTACATACTCTTTAAGCCCATGTGCATAACTCTTTGATGGAGCTTTAAAAGGAGGCCGTTCTTTTGCAGCATATAATTTAGGGACATCTCTTTCATTCTTTGTAACAAATGGCTGGCATCCTTCAATCATCTTAATTAATTTTTTTTTTTAAAATAAATTAATTGTCAATAAACCACACATGATAATATGAAATTTTTAAGTATTTAAAAAGATATAATACCTCTTGTAAAATTAAAGCAAATGAGAAAACATCCACTTTGGTATCATAGTCTTCGTTTCTAAACACCTCTGGAGCAACATACCTCCCTGCTGTAAATAAAATTAAACAATTTTTTTTTAAATAAAAAATAAAAGTTGGTTTCTAAATATTAATATCTAATTATAAATAATTTAATAAATAAGACTCACAAGTAGTGTCTTGATGTGACATGGGCTTTTCGTGTTTGGCTGCGTGTGTCCCTTTGAGTAATTCGCTGACTCCAAAGTCAGCAACTTTCAGATGTCCAGAATCATCCCGCAAAATATTTCTGATTTATTAATATAAGAAAATATTAAAAATTCATGTCGGAGATTAAAATTTTATTATTTAATATATTTTTTATTAGTAATAAAAACTTACGAAGGTTCGAGGTCCCTGTGAATGATTGGTTCTGGCTTGTTCTCATGCAAATAGCTCATTCCCCTGAAGAATAATATAAATAATATTTAAATAAATTGCATATAAACATATTTCATCTCGTTTAAAACACATAATATATATGTATTTGAAATAGTAGATTAAAGTTTATTCATCTTTTTTTTTAAACATTAGTGTAAAAGAGAAACTACCTTGCTATATCCATGGCATACTTTAAAGCTGTAATTGGCTTTAGTGCTCCTTTTCTTTTCAAAAATGCTCTAAGATCACCCTGAAATATTGCATAAAATTAAATATGGATTTAAAAAATCAATTGGCATGTAACTTTCATCTAGCATAATCAATTAATCATGCTCCAAAACCATTTCAACCAAAAATTATTTTAATCTTTTAACTTCCAGTTGAACAAAATGGAACACATGAAGCCTTATGTTCTAACAATCATGGGATTTTGGGTATTATTGGAAATTAAGAAGAAAGGAAGGTAGAGTGCCTTAGGTAAATATTCAATAACAATCATCATTGGACTACTTTGAGTTACAGCACCCAAAAACTGAACCACATTTGGATGCCGGATCTTTTGAAACAGATCAAGTTCATCTCTAAATGCCCTTCTGAAAGAAAAAAAAAATCAAAAATCAAAAAGAGCATATAGAGAATTATAGATAAAAGTCATAAAACCACAAAAAACAGTTTGTTGGTGACTCACACTTTCTCCTCATCGGTAAAAAGTTCATCCCCAAGCTTTTTAACAGCTACTTGTGTTCCACGCCATGAAGCTATGGCAAATGTTCCCTAAATAGATACATATAGACAAATAACAAATTCATATTTCATACATACATATTACCAATTTAACATAAGTAAATGAATCTAAGATGATTTACCTTGGTGATGTCCACGCTGTTTGTGAAATCAAGCTCTTTGGCATCGATTTCATATTCAGGAATTTCACGAGCATTGTTGACATGCATTGGAGCTGTCTGAGTTTTTACATTGTTGAGAACAGAAAACGAGAAAAGGAGGTTTCAGAAGATCTAATAACTAAAACTTCAAGAAAAAAACACAAAGAGAAAAACTTGCCAGATGCTTGGCACCATGTTTCTCCAAGAGTTTGACAACGCCATGGTTTTTATAATGGATTGCATCTGCAAGAGGCTGTTAAAGAAACATCTGATTACATGTAAACAACGAAAAAGAGAAGCATAAATGGCCAAACCCTACACCGGATGAATCATATAAAGGAACAAAATTCAAAGCAATTTTGTGTGAAAATATAATGAATCACAAAACACTGATTGTAAAGTGTAAACCCTCGAATCATACCGTGCTACCCCATTTATCTTGGGGGTCAATTTCAGCGCCGCGCTCCAGCAACAATTCAGCAACATCAGTAAACCCTTGACAGGCTGCTACATGCAAAGCTGTACGATTATCAATATCTTTAAAATTAACATCAGTTCCTGAATCCAAGAGCTTCTTAATCCCTTCCAAATCGCCTTCACTCGAGAAAAACATCAACCTAACCCTAGGATCAATCGCCTCCAATCCATCATCTGAATCGGAATCCGAACACGAAACCGTGTCAGGCGCCAACGACGACTGTTTCCCCAATGTAAACCTCACTTGTGGCTTTGAAACCATCGTTAACCCCAGTCAATTGATAGAGACGACTCAAAAAAAAAATCCTCTTTCGAAATCCCGTAATAAACTCTAATGGTGAATTGAATTTTGCCTCGAGTACGACATGAATAAGCTCGAAACACAGAAAGGAATAAAACACGGAAGACACAATGCGTGAAGTTGGTGAATAGTGTCAAAGGCTCAAAGCGGCTTGCAGGAGGAAGAAATGAAAAGAATAAATCAAATGCGCGTAAAACCCAAAAGAACGGCTGAGACATTGACTTTTTTTCTTGCTTACCTATTTCATCAACTTGCTTTATTCCCTTTTTAATTTAATTGTTCTTAAGCCATGTAGTATAAGGTTTTTAATATTACACATAAACAAATAATAAAGTCGAATATTTAGCATAGAGTTTAATGATAGGAAACAAATAGAATAGTTACCCAATTGTTATACTATATTCTATATAGTTCAAAATGTTTCTAGGTTCATTCAGGTTTCATGTACTAAAATGAAGATTCATTGAAATAAAATAGTCCTTCCTAATAAACAAAGATCTTTTTACCACATGTCACATTCTCATTTATTTTGCCACATGTAATTTTATGGTTATTTTAAATTAATTTTTATTCCACATATCATTTTATGGCTTTTTCATTTTATTAAATCCAAATAATATTTAATTGCAATAATAAATGCATATCAATTTCATTAATAAACTTTCATTCTAATATTAAAATTACTAAATTAAACATTCATTAATTTTCTTTATTTATTTATCTAAATTATTGTTTAAATTTAAAAGAGAAAAAGAAACACTTAATTTTTGTAATTCAATATTTTCTAAATTTTCTTATAAAATTAAACTTCTCAAATGTTTAGAATTTTGTGTTTAATTTTTATTTCAAATAGATTCATGTAATACATCGGTTATACACCTAGTATATAATAGAATGTCATACTCATTTTCTCTAGGGATAATGAATTAAGTTTTTCAAAAAAATAAAAAACCTTTCACTTTAGGTTCATTACAACCGAAACTTTAAAAAAAATTAGGGTGCTTTATTTTTATAAAATTTTTTCCAAATTTCCACAATAATTTTGACAAGGCTTTTGGTTGATTCATTTTTCCAAACAATTTTTTTTTTAAAAAAAATGTTTTTCAAATTGAATGTATATTAGAAAAAAAATAATTTTTCCAGTTTTCCAAAATTTGTAAAAATTTTGAAATGAAAAATAAAAACTCCATTGATTTCATATTTATTGAAATGTAAATATACGTATTTATATTTTTAAAAAACATAAAAAAACGTATTTATACTTTTAAAAAATATATTTATTCTTCCAAAACATCTCCCTATAATAATAAAAGAGTAGTTTTTTTGTCCTTGTAGTTTAGTCAAATTCGCACATTCAGTTCAACCTTTGAAATTTGACAAGATGCATCGCTGTGGTTTAAAGAAATTACACTGCACATCCTTAATCCACTTAAAAAGACCATTTTAACCTTACTTTTATATATTTTTTTTCTTATATATATATATATATATATATATATATATATATATATATATATATATATATATATATAACGACCCGTTTTCTCTGGTGCCTCCAAAATCAATTTCACACGGTTGCAACACTGCCACGTAACCCACCAACCAATCGACACAATTTATCATTATGTCGACTCAATCCTTCGTGTTATGTTCTCCTTCATCGTCTCCCTTCTGCACATCAACATATCCACCGATTCCCCATCTCCTCCAACAACCTGGCCGACTTCATCCTCAACAAGAAATCCGACCATATCATCCCCAAAAAAAGAACCTAATTCCTTCCGCAACTACTAAGAGCATACAACCAGTGAGATGGGTTTGGAGAAATACATATGTCACCCTGTTAAAGACAAAGAGATTAAGTAAATTGACACGTTTTTTCCCACCGATTCCAAAGAACGATGCACTCAACCGACATGACCTCTTGTGTGTGTGTGTGTGTGTGTGTGTATATATATATATATAATTGTTTTTTTTTTATATTTTACTGCTAATATTATGTTTTATTTATTTATATTTTTTATGATTTGTATAATTTTTTAAAATTATATTCGATAATATTTTTTATATTTTTTATATTTTGTTCGTTTATATTTTTTTTGACGTTTTATTTTAATAATTTTTCTAGGTTTTGTTTTTGATGTTTTGTTCGAATATATCTTCTAATGTTTTTTTGATCTTTTATTTTTTTTCTATATGTGTAAAGCTTTTTATAAATATTTTTTGTATAAAAAATATAAAAGGTTAGTTAAATGAGAATATGATTAACACATATTACGTATATAATTATTTATTTTAATAGGTTATTGTATAGGCTAATTGAAATTCAAAATGAGTGTCAATGGTTTCGAGTTCAATTTTTTTAGATTTAGAATTTTTTTTTTTTTTTTTTACATTTCGTTTGAATAGAAAATGCTAATCATAATTCATATAACTCAAACATATGTGTCAGTGTTTTCTACTTCATTTTTTTATTTTTAGAAATTATATTCGGTTTCGAGTTATATGGTTTTCCAATTAGCCTTTATATAACTTGAAACCTCTTTTCGAATTTCAGTTAGTCTATATATTAATCTTATTAAAAATATAATTTTATACCTAATCTAAATTAATAATACTCACATTTAACAAACTTTTTTTTTTACAATTTTTACAATAAGTATAAACAAACAAAACGTCAAAAATATTAAAATGTATTCAAACAACACATCAAAAAACTAAAAAAAATTATTCAAAAAAATAATAAAAATATAAACGAAAAAAAATTTTAAAAACATTTTTTGGTGTGTTGCTTGAATATATTGTTTAATGTTTTTTTACATGTTTTTCGTTTATATTTTATGATGTTTTTTGAATAATTTTTTTTTTATTTTTTTGGTGTGTTGTTTGAATACATTTTAATTTTTTTGACGTATTATTTGTTTATACTTATTGTAAAAAATGTAAAAAAAAAAAGTTCTTTAAATGTGAATATTATTAATTTGGATTAGGTATAAAATTATATTTTTTATAAGATTAAAAGATAGACTAACTGAAATTCGAAAAGGGGTTTCAAGTTATATAAAGGCTAATTGGAAAAACCATATAACTCGAAGACGAACATAATTTCTAAAAATAATGAAGTCGAAAACATTGACACATGTGTTTGAGTTATATGAATTCTGATTAGCATTTTCCATTCGAAACGAAATGTAAAAAATGTGTATGAGTTGCAAGATTATCCAAAATCCGGGTAAAAATTGTCATTTTTGAATTATGCAGGAATTCTACCCCATTTCCAAAAACAGCTTAATATGCGGAACTCTACCTCATTTTGCGAAACTGGGCAAAAAGTATAATTTCGCACAAACTGCAGGGACCTGATACGTAAATTCCTCCATTTCTCATAATTTTCAGCGCGAAACTTGGTAAATTCTGACCATTTGCTGAAACATCAGGGACTCATTGCGAAAATTCTATTCCTTTTCTTCCAAAATGTGAAAAGGCAGAAAAAGCAGTCCTAATTTCGAGTATGGTTACAAACTGTCAAACCATCGAAAGTTGCAGGGACCAATTCGTAACTTTTATATCTTCTTCCCCAATCTACATGTGCCAGTCGACTTCAAAATCAATCAATTCAAACTCATCGACAATTAACCCTTCCAAGTCGATGCTTAACATCTAACTCAGTTTGACCTGTAACCATTCGATTATCATTTCTTCTTTCCCAGATCAACAGCTACTTCAAATCCAAATCAACCATCTGACCAATGTAAATTCTCCAATTTCAAAGTCTAAAAAAAATGGCTTAGATCCCATAGCTGTCGACAATCAATCCATACTTTCGACATCAAAATTACCCAAGTCGATTTCCATGATACAAATAAGAATATCATCACCACCTTCGAAACTCTATAAAGGACCATCAATCACGATTCCAAAATCAATATCAACACAATTTCAAACCATCATCAAGTAATATCAGTCAACTTTTGATTCTCGATTCCAAACCAAATCAGTTGCACAATGAACGAACACACAAAAACGATTTTGACTTTCTAGTTTGACTTTTCGAATTCGTCAGTCGACAAACACAAATCGACAACCTCCAAATCGATCCTTAAGATTTCAGTTCTTCATCAATCAACGGAATCATCAATAGAAAAAACTTGTGATTGGATCAAATCAATATCCGTATTTTGACCAATAAATCAGATCGATTGAATCAATATGAAAAAAAAAAAAATGAGAATCAAACAGATAATGAAATATGATGACAGAAACGAGATCAATCATCAATTGTGAATTAATGATCTAAACGAGACGTAATAAGATGAACAGAAATCGCGAGCCAAAGATAATCGCGAAAGAGAAACATCGTCAAAGCATTTGAAGTCACAGATCAAATATATGTCGGCTGAACAAAATAAGATTGGGCTTCGAAAATTGTTTCGAACAGTAACAAACTTATGTGATTTGGGCTCCTTACATGGATCGAATCATTCAATTAAGAACAAAAGGTTTGGGCCTGATCAAAAAAAGAAAAAAATAATTGGATCAACAATTTGGTTGAAACGAATTAGATCCAATCGAGTCAAAACGATCAAAATTGAAAAATGAAACACACGAATCGAAATCATTGACGTTTTGGAATCCATTTGAGAATTTGAGATACCTTTTTGACAAATCGAGTTCCATTTTCAACGAACCCATCAAATTTAGAAGATTTTGATTCTTTTGTTGAAACGAAAAAATCTCCAATTTCAACATTGTACCATCCACTATGCATGTTGTACAACTCGTTCTTCGTGTTCTTTAACGATCCAAGAACATCTTCATAAGAACCACCAACACTTTTGGGTTTTGACTTCAAATTCAATGCAACCTTTGGAAATTGTTGCTATGGAACCCAAATTTGCTTCACCATAACTTTTGATGATTTTTGTGAGTAAACCCGCTTGTTTTTGAGTTTAATCTTCTTCTTCTTTTTCTTTCTCATCTTTTTGCATCTTGAAGATTTGATTTCATGAACAAACTCACTTCCCACAACTTCAACTTTTTGAGTTTGAATCAAATCTTTTGGAGTTTGATACTTGTGAATTTCTTGGATCACCGGCTTCCGATAAGAAATCATTCCTTCAAAGAAATCACAAGAACCAGAATATCATCGGTTTGAACTCCAATCGAGCAAAAAA